CAATAAGCTCACGAATGTGCCATAAAAATGGCAGCTCTGCACTCCAACCATGAAATTGCCAATTCGAATCCGGTTTTAGTTGTAAAAACTTTCATGATCCCCACATTAATAGAATATGCCATGTACTTTCCCACATAATCTCTCATCTTTTATACATACATACATCTATATCTATGTATCTTTTTTTGTTTTTTATTATTTTTTTTTTTTTTTGGCAAGGCCATTATGGATTGTTCTCACTACACCCACAGGTTTTAAGATTTTGGGGAAATATTTCTTTAAAGAGTAGGTTGATATGTTTAGGTTATTTATTATATTATTAAATTATAATTTATTGAAATAATTTTATGCAAGATAAAGCTTTGTAAAAATAGTTTAATACTATTTCTTTATTATGGTAGGGATTATTTAGAAAGGTTTTTTTGTAAAAGGTTTATATAGTCTAGTTATAGGTATAGTCTATTTTAAAGGCCAGAAAAGAACTAAGTACCGGGTATTGTATACATCAGTGGCGGATTTAAGGAAAAAGGCCCAGTGGGCAAAATTTTTTCAGGGTACATTGAAGGGTATTTTGAAGGGTACAACCCAGAAAATTTGACAAAAAATCTTAAAAATATTTTGTTCCCAGATTTTGATGCAGATATATGGAGAATCGATCCAAAAATCGTTTAAGGTATTCCGTTCAAGAATCGGATGAATATTTCCTAAGATATGGCCTTCGCAGTGGGTTAATGGGGCTTCCCATGCATTCTGCACATTTTGAAGGGGACAGCCCAGAAAATTTGACAAAAAGTCTTAAAAATATTTTGTTCCCAGATTTTGATGCAGTTTTATTAAGAATCGATCCACAAATCTTTTAAGGTATTCCGTTCAAGAATCGGATGAATATTTCCTAAGATATGGCCTTCGCAGTGGGTCATATGGGGCTTCCCATGCATTCTGCACATTTTGAAGGGGACAGCCCAGAAAATTTGACAAAAAGTCTTAAAAATATTTTGTTCCCAGATTTTGATGCAGTTTTATTAAGAATCGATCCACAAATCTTTTAAGGTATTCCGTTCAAGAATCGGATGAATATTTCCTAAGATATGGCCTTCGCAGTGGGTCATATGGGGCTCCCCATGCATTTTGCACATTTTGAAGGGGACAGCCCAGAAAATTTGACAAAAAATCTTTAAAACATTTTGTTCCCAGATTTTGATGCAGATTTATGGAGAATCGATCCACAAATCGTTTAAGGTGTTCCGTTCAAGAATCGGATGAATATTTCCTAAGATATGGCCTTCGCAGTGGGTCATATGGGGCTCCCCATGCATTCTGCACATTTTGAAGGGGACAGCCCAGAAAATTTGACAAAAAATCTTTAAAATATTTTGTTCCCAGATTTTGATGCAGTTTTATTAAGAATCGATCCACAAATCTTTTAAGGTATTCCGTTCAAGAATCGGATGAATATTTCCTAAGATATGGCCTTCGCAGTGGGTCATATGGGGCTCCCCATGCATTCTGCACATTTTGAAGGGGACAGCCCAGAAAATTTGAAAAAAAATCTTAAAAATATTTTGTTCCCAGATTTTGATGCAGATTTATGGAGAATCGATCCACAAATCGTTTAAGGTATTCCGTTCAAGAATCGGATGAATATTTCCTAAGATATGGCCTTCGCAGTGGGTCATATGGGGCTCCCCATATACATAGCATATTAAAGCTTTACTCCGTTTTGGTATCTAGCCTTTTAGTCTAAGATACTCTAAGAGTTCTCTAAAATCTAGGGCTATCATACAGTATTTTTTGGATATTTTTTCAAGACCCTGTAGTGGAAGCTTTGGTATTTAGGGATCTAGTATCAAATATAGTTTTAAATCTAATAAACTTTTTAATTTCTTTTCATTTTCTAGACAATTTTTTCCTTTATGATTTGAAGGAAAAGAAACAAATAAAAAGTACCGGGTATCATATAGATTTTTTATGGATTTTTACTAATAGTTTTTTTGTGTGATTTGGCATATTTTAACTAGTACCTAATTTAGTATAAAATCACACTTTATTTATAGACTTTAGGAAGCTCTCCTCTTTTATGATTTAAAGATTCATCTATTATTCACATAAATGCAAAAATGACTTTACCTTTTAGTTAATATTCCCCACAATTAAATTTCTATATTTTATACGATTACGCCCACATTTTCAGCAAGGACCTGCCTGAGGGGTATATCTCAGCCAACACATCAAATAATTAACCGCCCACAATATTCCACAAAATGAAGGGCCAGGACTTGGGGACTCGCTTTCATATTTTCACCAGGATTTGAATTCAGGATTCAGAGAGAAAACAAAACAAGGAAGCCCGCACCTCTAATCCTGTTGACTTTTTAAGCCTCTGCCATTGTTGTGGATATATCCCGTATATATTATAGACTCTAAATACATATATATATGTATGTGTGAGTATATCCGATGCTTGAGTTCCGGGCTCCACAATCATTAGCTGTAACATTAGCGTCTGTCTTGCGGTTGCAAGTTTTGGGTTGAGACCCGAAACGCAGAAACGCCACCGCCTTCGTCCTCAAAAATCTCGCCAAGTCGTGGCCGAAAGAGATGGATGGCTGGCGAGGGGAAAGAGACGGTTAGATGGTGAGATGGCAATGGTTAAACCTATAAAACCACGTAATCTCCAAGCGAGTTCTTTAATTATGCTGCACACAGAGCCACTGTAGGAGCAGTAGGAACTGGAACTTTGGCAGCATCAGGTGGCAGGTGGGAAAATGTAGGAAAAACGAGGAAAACTCCAAAGAGGATAGAGACGGCAGGAGGCTGGCTGAGGACAGGACAGTAGAGAAATCCTTCGTAGCGGAGAGAGCAAACAAAATGTGAAGCGAAAGCCGCTTACAAAACCGCAAAATGCTACGGACATCTTTTGCCAGGAAAGCGCAGTGGGCAAAAGGGGTTTGAAAAAGGGGGGCAGGCAGGACACCCCCGGTGCTGCCTCCAAGGGTGGACAAAAAACGGCGACTCCAATGGCCACCAAAGGCAGCCATTTTGAAGTTTTGGCCTCCACATCTGGCTGGGATTACAATGGAACCTGGACCATTCTGGAGTTGGAGTTTGGAGATACGACCAGATACGGACGGAAAAAGATACAGGACGACAAGGACATGGCTAGATAAAGACAAGCCCACCAACAGACAGAGACAACAAACAAACAAACACACACATACACATACGGAGGAAAACAAACAGCGATCCGGACAACACGGATGCCAATGCGAAACCATTTTGCGGATTTAATTGCCGTTAACATGAGGAGGGCAGCTTCATTTTCACTTCCCACACGGCTAAAAAAAGGATGTTCGTAAAGGACATAAAGGATATTTTTCTAAAAAAGTTTAAAGATCAAAGGAGCAAATCTAAGAGGTGTTTTCGAAGCTAATATGTATTACTTTTTTTCACAAAATGTGCCCAGATCAGTATAAATTATAGCAATGTGCCCGTATTAGGAAATTTTTGAAGAAAAATATTGTTTCTTGATGAGACTGTTTTTTTAAAGGTTATAAAGACTATTTATTTCCAAAAATTTAAAGACCAAAGGATTATTTCCCAGGACCAGTGCCCAGATCAGCATAAATTGTAACAATGTGCCCATATTAACATATTTCTGTTAAGGGGAGGGTAAGGTATTAAATTTTTTTTTTTCCATTTTTTTTTTATTTTTTAAATTGAATGCATAATATCTGAAGAATATTGTGTCAAAATTTCAAGTCAATTAAAGCAAAATTGACGAAGTTATTAGTTATTGACGAAGTTGCTTGCAAACGTTTTACACTGGATTTTGTTTTGTTTAAAACTTTAAAGCGTTATTCCCACAACTCACGTTTTCAAAGTCGGTGCCCCTCATAACTTCAAAACTACTTCACCGATCCTTTTGAAAATTTAAACACTATTTCTGTACATATTTTACGAGGTAACGCTGTCGAGTTTTTTTTTTTTTTGTTCATAGTTTTGATTTCGCAATGACAAATAAACCGATTTTTTCCCAAAAAATTGAGTTTTTCACTTCAAAGTCTTCGAAAAAATTAAAAAATTGCAATTTTCAAAAAACCTTTACAGCGTTACCTGGGGCGAACTATTATCTAACGAATGAATTTTCATTTTTTGATTACAAATGATCCAGCACCGAGTTATGAGGGGCACCGCAATTCAACTTTTTTTGGCGACACGTCCGGACAACTGCTACCATTGCCATATTTTTAAATATTTTTTTGTAAAAATTTTATTAAACATTCTTCTAATGTCATACTTTAATATACCGTTGGTTGAATAAATAAATTTTAACTGTGTCGTCAGGAAAAAAATCACAAAAATATGGTTTTTTTCGCATGATTTGACCTTACCCTCCCCTTAAGAAAAATAATGTTTCTTGATTAGAAATTATTATTATAATCATATTTGAACATTTTATTTCTAAAACACACACCCCCCAAATTTTAATATAGATTTTCTTTAATTTTCCACTTTCCACTATAAATATTCCCCAAAATATCTCCCAGTGCAGATGCTACTTTTTCTCCATACGGATTTTCGCAACATGAGCTCCAAAGAGAGCCGGACTCGCTGCCGGAGATTAGAGGGCAATCGCTGACATCGTGGACTTGTGGAGGTTCCACTTCCATTTCTTTGCTTCATGGCCACAGAAAAAATATAAATTACAGAGCCAGGATTCTCAAAACTTAAAGTTTGAATTTTAAAATTAAAATACAACGAAGAGGAAATATTGATAGTGTTTGTTTTTTAAAAATAGTTCAAAATTCATGAATCTTTCAGATATTTTAGAAAATATATGTGATATAAAGATATATAGAAAGATATTTCAGATTTGTAAAGATATTATTATAGAAAAATAGTATGTATATAATTTTTTCATAAACCTAACTAAGCTTGAATGTCAAAGTTTTTATTTAAGATCATGTTTCAAACATAATAATAATAAATTCCAAACTTACCCATTAGAATCGCCAGGCGAGAGAGGCTTAAGCTGCTGATCCGATCGGAGGTTGTCGCTGATTAAATAATCTACAAATAAATTAATTAAAATTAAAATTAATATTCAAATATAAGCTCATTTAAAAAATTAAAAAAAGGAAATAAATTTCGATAAGCCAACAGTCTACTAACGGTTTCTGTTAAGAAGCTTTCGGACAGGACGAAAAGCTTCAGTTTCGAAGCGAAGAACATCGAATGCTTTTCCCAAAAGACGAAAAGTTTCACAAAAAGCTTGGGACCAAAAGCTGGGATATGTGTTATGTAACTTCCCTGCTTGGAATTTCCCTATATTGGGATATTTCTGTTTTAATATATATTAAAGGTAATTTAATTCAATGGGAAGTACCTAAGCTTTAATTATTTTTGCATTTAAAAAGAGAGAATAAATATTGTGATGGTTTTGGAGAAATTTTAAATTAGTAAAGGCATTAAAATAAAAAGGAATTTGGAAAGAAACTAGTTGATTTAAAATATAATCATAAAATAGACACATTTATATAATACCTTTATAAAATAATTCTCCAAAAACATCTTCCAGACTATCTTTGATAAGAATCAAGACTAAATGTTAATATTTTTACAAGAAAATGCCCACAAGCCTCTGCTATTTTATAGCTTCTTATTTTTCTAAATTTTTTTTCAAAGTCTTTTTAATAATTTGTTATTTAAATTTAAAATAAAAACAACATTTTAAAGTCTCTGTTTTTAAATGAGCTTCCATAATTTTCGTGTGAATATATTATCTGTTTATAAACCCGAATATAATGTGCTCCCTTTGGAAAAGTTTATTTTTTCTTGGAAAAGCAAATACTCTCCCAAGGATTCAGGTTCCTAATGCTATTCATGGTAGCCCCAGAGGGAAAAGGTCCTGGGAAAAGGATCCTTTGGAGAAACTCACCCTTTTGCAGCTGGCTGGTGGGGATGAACTCCTCGTGCTTCTGGTCGCCCTTCTCCTCGTACTTGAGCTTGTAGTCGGAATGCTTCCGCAAGGACATCAGCAGGGATTGGGTGCGGGGCGGGATCTCCGGGGGCGCCGGCTCTGGTGGCGGCTCCTCGGACTCCGCCGTACCGCTGCTCCGGCTACTGCTCCGAACCGGATCCACGCCGGGATTCTCCTCGGGATGGAGCAGCTGCTTCAGCTGGGGATGCCGCATGGAATCACTGCTGGAGCTGGTCATCTGACTCAGTCGGTTGAGAGTGCTCCGGGCGGCGCCGGAGTTCCGGTGGCTGCGGTTCGAGTGGGAATTGGAGGCGGCGGTCGAGGACGAGGCCGAGGCTGGCAGGACGACAGGATCACTGTCGTCGCCCGGAAATTTGCTGGAACTGAGGAAGGGATTTGTACTGCGCGGCGTATTAACGGTGGAGGTGACCCCTCCTCCACCCAGGCCTCCTGATCCTGGCAATCCGGCGGAGTTCTGGATGCTGCTGCCACTGCTGCTGCTGTTGGGGAACAGACCCAGGTTGGCGTTCGATTGGTACTTCCCGGCCGATACAGTGGACACTTTGAGCGGTGAACCGCCCAGCGATGTGCGCTGCTGGTGCGGCTGGGCGTAGGTGACTTCGGGGGCGGGGCCGGGCCCGGGGGCAGGGCTGGGCGTGGTCTCGTCCATGGAGGATTCGTCTAAGCGGCGATCGCGTTGCCTCAAGTAGTCGGGTTCGCAGTCCGAGTTATAGTGTTCCATACCTATAAAAAAAATATTAAATTAATTAATTTTAATTTTAAAAATATTTAAAATACATTAAGTTTTATTAATGTTAATGTAATGTATAAGTGTTATTAATATTATGGTAGATACTTAGTGTATACTAAAACTAAAAGACCAAAAAGCTTTTAAAAAAATACTAAAACTCACAGATAGTTGTTACTTCTCTCCTTCTGTATTTTTGTTAAAGCCTTCAAAAAAATACTAAAACTAACAGATACCTGGTACTTCTCTCAGTCTATCTTTCTTTTTATATTAAGTACAAATATTTAAATTTAAATTATTGTCACTCATTTTTAAATAAAAACTATATCAATAAATCATATAATATTACTTTAAATATTGATAACTTTTAAATAAATCGTATTTGCGATTGAAATGTATTCGATTGACTGACTCGAATATGAAATCGTGAATAAAAATTTGATCAAAAGCCAACTGAAGGCCATGTGTTTACGTAACGATCAAATATTTGCGGAGCTGGGACCTCGTTGGGACCACAATATGTCCACAATATATGCACACAATACCAACAATACCAACAATACCAACAATACCAAATATACCAAATAAAAGTATTCCCAACATGTTTATTCATGTTTGCGTGGGATGATGGCTTGGGTTTTCAGGGGCTGGCTTTTCAATTTTCCCGCGAGAATGACGGCCCAATGGCAAACAATTTGCGAGCCGTCGACGTTGCGTTATTAGGTTGTAAAAAATGAATCGTAAATTGCATTAAATATTAACAGACAATAAAACGAAGCGAAACAAAAATGCAGGCATGCCGCAGAGGCGGTGCGGTGCGGCATAAAAAGGGCATTCGCTACTCGCAGGTCGCGCCACTCGCCAGTTGCTGCGATTTGCGTTTTATGCTCCGATTAAGTTTGCCTTTGATAGGAGGGGGTGGGGGGTAGGGGGGGGATTAATGTCAGTGGGGGGGTCACGGGGGGGCAGATCAGAGGATAATGTCAGAGGATGTAGCATTGTATCGGCCATTAGGCTGGCGCTGCCAACTTGATTGTAATTGAATTGCACACTGCTGACGTTCGCGGAGCTGCCATTCGGTAGAGTACAGTAAAGACTCCTAATAGAGGACTCTATATTTAAATTTATAAATATATATATATACTATATATACTAATACAAAAAGACAGACTTTAAAGGCTATAGACTTTCCATAAGATTACTTTTTGAAACAAATATTTTATATTTTTAATGAAAAAAAATTATTTAAAAATTTCAGAAAAATATACAATTTTTTAAAAACAATAATTCCCTTTCCCCTTTATCCACTCATCACTGTGCTTCATCGGTTACATTGGGCGATTTACTCAATTCAATCAGGGAACTGTCAGAAGAGCACCTCCCACAACCACCCACCACCACCCAAAACCCCACTTAACCCCCCACCCTCTGGCTGGGCTCCAGCTGTCCCCTGCCCAAATCCCGCCCCATTCCACTCCGCAGCCCAGCATCTTGGCCAGCTCCATTTCAGAAATTCAGTGGCAAGCGATTGGAATCGATTTGTGTGCTCTCCTCTCGGACTTTGGTTATTCGCATTCCTGGACACAGTTGGGCCACCGAGAGCTGAATAATTCAATTAAATAAAATAATGAATACGAGGGATGCCCGGGCGGGCGGATCGACCCATTTCTAATACGCTTTCCCTACGTCTAAGCTGTATTTCCTGCCCCTAATTCCAATTTAGAAACACTTGGACCCTGACTTCCATAGGACCTCCATTTGGGGTTTATTTATTAAATTCATGGATGGAGTTTAGTAATTAGTGTTTCGAAGAGACTTTATTTGAAAGGTTAAAGATTTCAAAGGTAAACTAAGCTTGTCAGGGAGCTATGAGCTCAGAAGGGGGTATAATAGCATGAATTACTTGCAACATTCTGGAATCTCACATATAGCCCCTTCCATTGTCTATATCTTTTTCATTTCTTATACGATCTATGGGGGGAGTACCTTAAACGATTTTTATATCTATTTCTCATGAATCTGCATCAAAATTTGAGACTAAAATATTTTTTAGAATTTTTTCTATTTTTTTGGGGGAAGACCCCTTGCCAAATCCTGGATTCTCATATAGGGCATCTTCCAATTTCTGTATCTCGGTCAGTTTTTTGCCGATCTATGGGGGGAGTATCTCAAACGATTTCTATATCTATTCCTCACAAATCTGCATCAAAATTTGAGACTAAAATATTTTGTAGAATTTTTTGCAACTTATGTAGGAAGAATCCTTGCCAAGTACTGGATTCTCATATAGGGCATTTTCCAATGTCTATATTTCTGCCAATTATAATCCAATTCTTGACCGGAATACCTCAAACGATTTCTATATTTAATTTTAACAAATCTGAATAAAAATCTAAGAATAAAATATTTTTTATAATTTTTTTCAATTTTTTTTGGGAGACCCCTTGCCAAATCCTGGAGTCTCATACTAAGCATCTTCCTATGTTTATATCTCTGCCGATCTCATCCGATCTATGGGAAGAATACCTCAAACTATTTCTATATCGAATTTTTGCCAAATTTATATAAAAATTTGAATTTCAAACACTTTTTAGAATTTGTTCCAATATTTTTGGGAAGACTCCTTGCTAAACCCTGGGTTCTTATATAGGTCTATATATCATTCTCCGATGTGGTATATCTCCGCCAATTCGATCCTACACCGGAGTACCTCAAACAATTTTTAAAACTCCTAATCTTCAAAAAATTTTCTAAGTTATTATAATATCTTTAATTTTCATAATAAATACTCACTTGCTAGTTGCTGACTCTGGAGGAGCAGCTGGGCAAGTAGCTGGGTATCGAAGGCCGTGGCCTGTCCGGTGTTCTGGTACTCGTCCTCGCTGCTACTACCGTATCCATGGCCATGCCCCATACCGTGGCCGTGCCCCATGCCATGCCCGTGGCGGTGGCTGTGCCATTCGGCCGACCTTTGCCGCCGCAGCTGCTCCCCGCCGCCGGAACCGGGTATGCCGCCACCCAATCCCATTCCGCCTCCGATACCGCCGGAGGCATAATAGTATTCGCTGCCGGCAGCACTGCCGCTGCCGCTGCCGACCCGTTTACGGCCAATTGTGCCGGAGTGACTGCTGGACATGATTGCCGGGGCCGGAGAGTCCGGCTCAAGAGGCTTTCCGTGAGCAGTGGTTTCCGTTTTCCGAGCAGTTTATCCTGCGACGAGTTCAACGCATCGTTTCAGTGGCACAGTGCCGCCTCCAGTTGGCGGGGTGTAGCAGCAGCCTGGTGGTGTAGCAGGTTCATGTCCATATATTCCAGGGGACGGGGGGTGGGAAGGCGGCGGGCAGGATAACACCGGAACAGGACTGGGCGGAACAGGAGTTCGCTTTAAGTGCTTAACCGAATTAACGCTGAAACGATAAAAACGATAAAGTGTCAGAGAGCTTCGGTCGGTGGTAAAGTGGAGAAGATAAAGCCATAAATGCACGAAAATGAAAATAAATAGCAGCCGGTACAGTACAACCTCCTCGTATTCACAACACCACCCACACACCACCCATTCCCTTCTATTGCCCATTCCCGGGGTACTTTCACTTTGACTTCTGGACGTAAAGTGAACTTAATAGCAGTTGCTGGGAGGCCTCCACTCTCGACGGTCCTTTGTCGCAGAGTCAGTAAAGCGCAAATGGCTGGAATCTCTGGATTTTATAAACTATTATTAAACATTGAGATGCAGAATTGTCTTATTTTGTTTAGAATTTAGTTTTTTTAAGGGTTTAAAATAGCTAAGAATAAGCCATGTGCTTTTCGGGACTAAGGTGGAGAACTAAGTTTTTATCGATACTTTGAGTCACGAGCTACCGATATGTCCTTTACTCCTTTGGTATAAAATGGTCTGATTTTCTTTAGAATTTAGTTTTTTTTAGGGTTTTATAATAGCTCAGAATAAGGTAATATGTAGATAATAAGCTTATCAGCTTGATGAAAGATTAAAATCGATATGCTTCTTACTCCTTTTGTGTCTTGATATTAATATTTAAACTATTATTTAACATATCCGTAAATATTATAAAGATGTATCTTCTTATTTTGTTTCAGATTCAAAAGATTCAGTCTTTTAAGGCTTAAAATTAGTTACAATTTGGTGATAATTATGACCTGCATCAAAATAAGTGCTTTTTCTCATCGATACTTTTAAAAGTTACTAGTTACCGATATGTCCCATACTCCTTTTTGGGATGAAGTGTGTTTCTATGACTCAATATATTAAATGCTTCATAAGAACTTACTGGTGTATAAGCTCTAGTTATTTGAACTAATATTAGCTTAGAATTTAGTAACAAGTATGAAATGCTTTGAACTCTCTCTTTTTGATTGATCCTTTTATTAGTCACTAGTTACCGATACATTCCTTACTGCTTTTAACCCAGAAGTGGGTTTATTGTATATTTCTATAAAAAATCTCATAAAAACTATGAAGACACGTATGGATAGTGCATATTTAGATTTATTAGTATAGTCCTAAAATATGGTAAAATTTATGAAAAGCATGAAGATCATGTTTGATCTTCTAACCCTACTCCTTTTGGTTTAAAAGTGGGTTTATGTTTCTAAAAAAATATCTTAAAAGTTACCCGAGAGACACCGTATGATTTACCGTATATAATATATTCAAAAATTATTGTTCATTAGTTTCTTGTATTTATTTTAAAAAGTAGTTATTATAACTAAATATTTTTATAAAAAGTCAAAGTATTAAAACAATAATACTACAATATAATTAATATATAAAAATATTAACATTGGTTATGTTTTTCAGCCTCGAATGCATGTTTTAATATTATAATTAGTAACATTTGTAAAGTTCCTTTATTTATTTGTTGTATAATTCATCAATAATACTTATAATAGATGTCAAGTGTACATTTTGTGAGATCTTAGATGAAATACTAGAAGCCAAGTCAAAGGTTGACCTTGAAATAAAGGCCCAGGAACTGCAAAATGGCCAAACTGGCAGCTCTCTCTTTTGGCCAAATACCTCTGCTTATGACTGCCTCCTTGGCTCGGACAGACAATTTGACTTTTGATTTTGATGAGTGGGCATTTGAATGCAATAAACAAGTGAGGAGCACAAGTGGGTCATTACTGACAGCCTCGACAGGATGCGGGTTAAGGCTGCCAGGGCTCACTGGCTCCGAAATGCAAAAGCACAAACGGCACAAAGCCCGTCTCCTGGCACTGGGTTACTAGCTATGTATACTTATTCTATGGACTTGTGTAAAGAGAAGTCTGTTGAAGGCATGCCAGGTTCTTCTTTCTTTGTGGCTGCCTGTGTGCTTTTGTCGATTTTCTAGTGGCGGCACCTCTTGTGGGGATCTGGCGAATCCCAATGACTTGGTGGACTGACGCCGCGCGGCTCCCGGTACGACAAATACACCGGCAACGGCGTGTCCTCCGGCAGATCGTCCCTGGCCAGTCTGGAGTTCATTAAATGATTCAGCTTCATTGTCACCTCGTCCTGGTAAAGTGACTCCGGCGAGCGGAACGGATCGATGGATCTGCGCCCATTACTCATTTCGTCCGCCAGACGCCTGGCCAGTTGGATGTGTTGGATCGTATTCTCCATCCTAGCTCGGATGGTGATGTCCGACGACCCCGATTCGACGCTGCTACGCGAGTAGTCGAGGTCATCTTCCAGGTCATCCATCGATGAACTATCCATTTCCTTGGATAAACACAAAAATTCCTAAAAAGTTTTCTCACAATATTCTCCACAAAATTTTTGATTTTTATTTCTTACCGTTTTGTAATTTTCAGCTTTTATTTAGAATTGTTGAAAGTTTTTGGCCGAAAAGTTAAAAACGTTATGTGACATGTGGCTTTTCCACGGCCTGCTTCTTCTTATGCTTTTCTTAAATAGTTGAGCTTTTTGGTCACTCTATTCCAGGGCTTACACTTGATTATTATCGATTATCGTTATATAAGTGATATAATTATGTATTATTATATTCTTTTTTTATGCGAAAGTGCGGTTCTAGCTTTAGTTTATTTTAATTTCACTTATTTAATTTATTTTTAAGATATAATAATGTTTTAGCCTATAAAAACAAATCATAAAAATACCTAATACTTAATAAAACTTAGCTTAATATAATACAAACGTTTTATTTAACAAGATATTACCATTTTTAATGTCAGATTAAAGCCAATTCCTACCGAAGTACAATAGAAACTTGTACATCCCCGAAAATCAAACATGATTTTCCAGGGCTGCATTAAATAGTGCCACACTGCTACTGTGGTTAGTGTTGTACAATTCCAAAGGACACCTGATATGGCTTTTGCGAATAAACAGAAAAAAAAGCCTAATCGAATGCCATTTAATTGGTAGCCCGACGACTGCAGGTTCTCCAAGCCAAAAGCCAATTGCTCCTGAAACCATTTTCTGTACTTCCTCCACCCTCCTAGCCCCCTTCCTAGAGCACTTTGGTGCAATGGCAAAATGCACAATTTCGTCTGGAAAATGCATATTTGTGGCATCCATTTGTATGGCTTTGTTGGGCCCGAAAGTCCGAACCGAAAGATAATCAAATACGCATTTCTCTTACTCTCTTTTTGCCGCCGCCCCCCTATAACCCCCCTAATGAACAAAGTTTTGCGCTGCCAGGGCTGCAACCATTGAGGTATTCAGACCAATAGAGAAGAGGAATTGGTTTTTAAAAATAAAAGTTTTTATGGGATTATAAATAGATATTTTTAAGATAAGTTACTTTTAGTTAATTATTTTTAATTTATATTTTTTTAATGTTTCAGCTTAAAACTCTATTAATGGAGAGCCCAAATAGGCTCAAATGGAAAAAGTGTTCAGAAATTGCCATTTTAAAGTGCAGAATGCTTTTCGCATCAAAATCCAACGAAACTTTGCTAACGAATTAAGAGCAAAATATTATATGTATTTCTGGGATCTGGGAAAATGTTGCATAAAGCGGGCTAGGGGCGTGGCCGGATACCCCTCTTTCAGAGTGGGTGAGCGGGATGTTTAAGAAGTTTTTGGGGATTTCGGGGAAAAGCCTGGTGTATGGGGTTGGGGTTGGAAAGGGGCACGCAATTATTTTCCATGCTCCATTTTAACAATTTGGAGAAAGAAATGTGAGTCAGTGAAATGCAAAAATGAATGAATGAATGGGCGACTCCCGCACTCCGTCTCTCTCTCTCAGAAAAGTGGGGCCTTAAAGCCTAGCAGTCAACATTTTCATATGCATGCTTAAGTAGTGCAGGAGCAAAAAAAAAAGGGGGGGAAACAAGTAGAAACAACAACCAAATGCCACAAGGAGCCAAGAAAATATTGAGTTAACCCGAGCAGCGCTGCCCTAAAAGTATGCAATGAAATGTTATTTTCCTCATTTCCACAAAAACTTTCAGAGCTGGCTCGTAACCCTCAGCTTAACCTCCTCCCATTACCCAGGCCGCGACTGGGGTTCCTCCCCGTCCTAGAAGCCCCCCTTTTTTCGTAAGCCACTGAAACTTCGTCAGATGCAGCTGCTGCTTTTGGCCGGGTCTTAAATTAATTGCGGCCTAAGAAGTTCACTTAAGCAATGACCTCAAATAGATAATAATTGTACATATATATACTGAGATACATATGGGCTGGCATACTCAAGACTTTAATACAAGAATAGTATATAAAAGTTGCATTAAATTCCTCAGGGAAGACCCTTTTTCAGAGACTTTGCTGGGACTCAGATTGGAATATTTTAGATTTTTTTTTTTATTTTTTGTTTAATAGTTATTCTTGTATTTAAGTCTTTAAAAACTATAGAAATGAGAACAAAAGACTGTTTCATTATTATAAAATTATTATTGAAATTATATTAAAGAATTCAAAGCTTAGGGCTTGACTTCGGCTGGAATGTTATACAATATTTTATTTATTTTTTTTCCATTTCTATTCTTTGAAGTTTGAAGAAATGTTTAATAGTTTCTTAGAAAGAAAGTACAAAGATTCTGTAGAAACGCTTACAAGTAATTCCCTCATCTAATTATAGACCCACTACTGCTTATTTGATGGAACTGTTTCCCCCCCCTGAAACCTAGACTACATAAGTATTTCAGCAAAATTGCGATTCACTTGGATTCACCTTTTTCCACTTAATGAATCACAAATTGAAAAGGGAAAGCAGTCGTCAAGGTAAGTGGGTTGTGGAATGGCACAAGTCCTGTGTCATTTTAACCCCTTTGTTGATATATAAAAGCTTCGATTTTGTGCGAATATCATCCCAATTCAGCACTTTCCTTGCCTTTTGAGCGTAGGACGCATTTCCTCTGACATCAATCGTTCTGCAGCTGATGCTTTTCATTGTTTTAGCCACAGTATTTGCACACACAGAGCCCGGAGTGTGTAACAGATATTGTCGAAATGGTATTGGGGGGTAGCCACACCCCTGGCATATAGTACAATATCCAATGACAATGGAACCACAAAACTCACTCTCTATGAGGCGTCCTCGTTCGCTTTCGTTGTCAACCGCAAAACGTTTAATTACATGTCAAAATGCGAAATGCATTGAACAAGACAGGAAGCATAACACTCGGCCTCATCCTCATCCTCAGCCAAACCCCCCTTTTTCAGCTACGCCTCTGAACTGAACCGAACCGAACTGAACCACTTCCTATGGCATCCGTAATGCTTCCTGAGCCGCTGCGTCATCATCAGCGTTGTATTTTATAGATAAAGCGCCGCGTCCTTGCTCTACAGCTCCCAAATTCCCGTATTATGAGTGAACATGCAGAAACAACCTCATTACCAACGCAGAACATAGACCAGGGCCGACACGCCCCAACACCCATTTGCAAACACAAAATACACTTATGAACAGGCGCCCCTGGGTTTTGAGGGCATTTCCTGCAAGACGAGGGGAAGCAACGGCCATCAAGCCAGGCCTGTCAAGATACTTTCTCTAAAATATAAGTATTATTAAGCCAGTATTTTATATCTTATCGAAAATTAATATGCAATAGGTAGCGTTATATTTATAGCAAAGCTGATCATTTTTTACTTAAAAGGACTTGCAATATAGAGTACCATATACATACATATATCATATATCTTTTTACTTTTGATTTTAAAATAAAGTTAAATCTTTTTAAGATGTTCTTGGAAGCACTCTAGCCACTAAGAGCTAGTGTGGTTTTTCTTAAAGTATTTCCTTAATATCGTAATACCTTCTGGTATCTTGGGTTTAGTGTTCTTTCTTGCAGTCGTGACCTTTGTGGCTGTGTATCTTAAGACGTGGGAGACCTGGGGGTTTTCCTGGGTCATTCTTTCAAACCATTCATGCCACCCATCAATAGGTTCTAAAAATAGATTCCTGGGACTTTTTTTAAATTTTTGTATGCTAATAATTGGGTTTTACAATAAAGTTCTCATAATTATATCCGATATTTGCGATATATATCCGATCATAACTGCAAGGGTATATTAACTTGGGCTAGAAAACAAAAAAACACCTTTCTAAAGCCATATTTTCCCTAAAAGAAACTGTTTTAAAACCTTCAACAAATCAACATACATTTTGTACCCTCCACAATAGGTGGCAGGGACCTCAAAGGACCTTAATGTTTTGTACTTTAGTGTACCGCGTGTTCCGTAATTGCTTCCGGAACACAGGTTCGCGGCTTTGGCACGTGTTTTCACTTTTTAACATTTCTGTCGAGTTTTTTATGCTGCGGCTTGCCAACAAAATTATTGACAGTAGGCGTTACCAGAAAAACCCAAAGCCAGCCTGCGAAAATCGATGTTGTTGGTGGGTTGCAGAAAAAAAAAAAAAAGGAAAACTGAGAGAGAAAAAATAGTGTGTGGGTGTGTGTGTGTTGGGAACTCAATTAATGGCTGGTGGAGGATGTTGCATCAAAATAGTTTACGGGGGCTACGAGGTCCTTCAGGCACACACACACACACCCACTACTAACGCCCCCTTGAAAATTTGAACTATGTCTGCGGCATGTGTCTGAGGTCATGTCGGGAATCCTGCTGGCATGTTGCAAGCAACTTGCAAGCCTTGTGGCATGCTGCTAGCCAGATTTAGTGGCCTTGCTTTCGTGAAAGGAGCTCCTCATTTGTCTAGTTGGGTGGCAAGAGTGCAGGACCTTGACCGAAAGCCAAGGAGGAGTCCTTCCATCTCACCTAAAAATCTAATTGATATAAATTTGCAAAAGGAGTGCAGTCGCCGCATCCTTTAAATATCCTTTCGGATATTGGCCCACAGTGGCCGCAACTTTATTATAACGAAGGAGGCAGGAATAGATAGTCACAGGACACAGGGCACAGGACGCAGGACGCAGGACAGGATGTGCAGCAGCAGCAGCATCAGCAGTGGGTTATTTTTTTGTTGTTGTTGTTGTAGGAAATTCATGGCACGCGGCACGTTCTATCCAGGCATCCTAGAAGAGTCCTTTCCCTCGAAAAAAAAGGAGGATGCCAAGTGCTTGCGTAAAAATGCATAACGGCGCCAAAAGTCAAAGAGCAAAAGTTATTTTATACACATTATTTTCTTTTTTTTTGCTCCTTGGCAAGGATTTTACACACAGAAACACACACACACTCAAATAGAGAAAACCCACACTAGGAGAACACATAGTTTGCAATTGTGAGGCCAAGAAAGTAACTTAGTATTTGCGAAATTTTATAAATTCTGTGATGGAGAGAGCTCATAAGCTTTAACAGTAGATTATGGATGGTTGGAGGCTTTCTAGGCTTAAATGTAAATATATTTAATAAAAAGCTTAATTTAAAATATTTATTACAATTGTCAAGGGAAGTTAGAACTAGAGAATGGGCTTTGCTAATCTTAGGGGTCAGGCTAGACTTGGAATTCATAGAAGCCCTTTCAGAATTTTTCTTTAATTTAAA